ACCTCGCCGACCGAGCCGTAGCAGATCTGGGTGCGCTGGTCGTAGGCCAGGATGGGGATGTCCAGGCCGCTCACGCACTTGCCGTCGGCGCTGCTGGCGCCGCCGGCGCTCTCCACGAGGAGGGACAGGGGGGCGACCTGGGGGGTGGCAGGGCGCGGTGGGTTGGGGGAAGGTGGTTTCGAAAGCCTGGGGGTTGGGGAGGGGGCGGCAGCGGCAGCGCGGCCTGGCGAAGCGGGGCACAGCCATTGCAAACAGCTGTGCGGAGAGGGTGGAAAAACTGCTGTAATGACCCCCACGCTCAGTATTAAAATCGTCAGTCTTCAATGTGGTAGCTTAGCACGCCGCAGGCAGACCACCATTGCAGTGAACCACATTCCAGCCACGCGCGAAGACCACACGCATGTGCATGCACAGACACAGATCCTCCTCTCTCCGGCCCTCATACACAATGTGCTTGTGCGGGTGTGAGTGAGTGAGTGAGTGAAGGAGAGCATGGGTGAGTGAGTGTCCTTTGCCTCTCTTCCCAGCCCACATGTCATGCCGCCCACCTCGAACAGGATGCGGAGCTTGGCCTTGGTGGAGGGGGAGGTAACGTTGGTGAACACACCCTTCTCCTTCACGATGATCTGGAACACGTCGGGCACCATGCCGCCGGTGTACCTGGCGCAATGCGGTCGGGCCGGGCCACCGAGAGGTGTGAGCGGGGCGGAGAGGGCGCACCATGGCCGCAAGTGACCAGCCCAGCCGCGGATGAAGGGCGTGCCGGCAGTTTCCGCAGGCCGGCACGTCCAGACTCGAGCAATGTGGCCAACGCATTCAATACATGGGCATCAATCTCAGCTGCAGGAGTGCCTGGTCATGAACATCCCTGCATCCACCACTCCACCACCCCCTCCAGCCAAGCCCCTCACCCGCCTGCCTCAAGCCGGCACCAACCCCCTCCCAGCCGCCGGCCCCAACTCTCCCGGCCGCCACGGTGCCCCACCCTCTCCATCCAGACCCCACAACGGCCCATTTCAAGAACGCTGCACCCTCTCGCAGCTGCGGTGCAGCCCGCCCAGCCGGACATTTTTGCAACACACTCACACCCCCCCCCCCACACCCACACCCAAACACCCACGCACCTGAGGGTGTACTTCTCCCCCAGGTAGTAGCTGATGAGCCGCTCGTACGCGGGGTTGTCAAAGGTGGCGCGCAGGTTCCCGGGGGCGAACAGCTTGCCCTCGCCAATCTCGGTGGTCTCCTTCACGTGCATCCACTTGCCTGGGGTTCAGGGTTTAGGGTTCACCCGGGGGGGGGGGCGGGACGGCAACACAGGGGGAGTGTCGGCGGGCGGGCGCAGCCATACACTTGAGCAGCCAGTGGAGGGGGGGCTGATCTTGCTAGCCGCTGGCTGCTGGCTGCCGGTGCGCAGAGGTACGTCCACCGCAGATTATGCGCGCCGACCCGCAGCCGCGCCAGCGTTCCAACGCTGGAGCACTGAATCTTGCCGGTCCCTTCCAAGCGCAGCAAGCTGGCCCCAACGGCGGGCCCCATTTCCGCGCACGCCGGCCCCTCTGCCGCCGCGCCCACCGTCGTCCATGAGCAGGAACTCGTGGCAGCCGGGGTAGCCGGCAATGGCGATGAGGTACACGGTGCGGGGGCCGTAGATGCCCATGCCCGCGGCGGCCTGCTGGCGGCCGGTGATGTCCTTCAGCTTGTCGCCTGGGTCGGTTTGCAGGGGGGATCAGGGGGTGCGACTGTCGGTGGCGGGGGCAGGAGTGCTGCGCGCACCAGGCGCACGAGCGTGCACCAGTCCGCGTGCTGCGCGTTCGGTGGGCCTGGTTCTGATCTACCCAGATGAAGCCCCCGCCATGACAGCGGGGCCGCCTCGTGCTGCTGGCGCACCACCGCACTAAGATACGTGTGCCGCACAGCCAGCTGTCGTCGAAAAAATTTTGTTTTGCGCCACGAGAGCCGCTCGACGTGGCAACCAGGCCCTCACCAACACTCTCCACCCCGCATCCCCCAGAAACAGCGGCCGGCCCCGCAGTCCAGCGGCCGTCAACAGGCATCAAGCCAGTGCTGCTGCCCCCGCGGCGGCGCGCCCGGCTCTCGTCTCCTGCCAAGTCCTCACCGGGCCACACGCCGAAGATGGTGCCCACGCTGAAGTTGGTGTCCACGATGGAGGAGCCGTCCAGGGGGTCAAACGCCACGCTGAAGCCCTGTCCGCCCATGTCCACGGGCTCGGGCACCTCCTCGGAGCACGCCCACTTGCACACGTGCTGCGGGGGGCGCGGGTGGGGGCGTGCGGGGCGTGTTGTTGGGGTCCGTGAAGGGGCACGGCGCAAACATTGGGCAACCCGGGACACCCAGGCCTGGGTTCAGGCCCTTGTCAATTGTTGCAAGGCGTGCAGGCAGCTGCGGCTGAATTGTTGTGCCATCCCCCGCCTTGATGCCGGGCACGCGGCCCTCATTTTGCGCAGCAATGCCATTGCAGCTCTTCTCGAGACCGGCTGCACAAGTTTGCGCAACTCTTGCCGCCAGAAGCCTCGTTTGCAACCCCACCAGTCCCCGCCATGCCGATCGACAGCCAAACGCACGCCTCGCCGCAGCGCTCAGCCTGCGGTCTGCCAGGCGCTGCTGGCTCCGCTCACCGAGTAGCGCAGCGCGTCGAACAGCAGGTTGTCGGCCAGCACGTCGATGGCCAGCTGCTCATCGCCGAAGCTGTTCACGCAGGCGGTGCCGGAGCACGACGCGGTGCGGATCTGCACGGCGGTGGGGCGGGGCAAGGGGGCGCAGGTTGAGAGGCCGAAGGGCGCTCAGGTGCCTGGGTGGGCGGCTGGCGCAGGAGCGCAGGCAGCGCCGGCAACGGCGCAGCGCGCGCAAGGGGCCTGCGGCCAGCTGCGCTAGGCCCCCAGCACGTGTCGGATGCGTATCAGAGCGGCTATTTAGTGCAATTGAGCCCCAAACGACAGCCAATGGCACCTTGAAGGCGATAGTGCGGGTGGCCTCGGCCATGCTCATCATCAGCTGGCGCAGCTTGGGGTCCGGGGTCGCGTCCACGAGGAACTCAGCCAGGCTGTCGCCAACCTGCGCGTCAAAAGGCGAGGAATGGGCTCGAGACGGCACGACAGATCGTCCCGGTGCGCATTGCGGACGTGTTAGGTCCCGTCATGCAAGCGCTGCTGCATTGCAGAGATAATCTCACCTTGGCCTTGGTAACGACCGCATGGCGGCGAGACGCAGCGCGCATGGAGCGCGGCTTCTGCGCGCTGAAGGCCTTGACGCCCGCGAACGAGCTCTGGCCGAGCGCCGAGGCCGCCACACGGACGGTCTTGGGAGCCGAAGGCCTCACGAAGGCCTGCAGGGGTCAATGGAGCTGTCAGGGGGCCGCACGTCGAGCATGCAGTAGACGCCCCGAAGGGCAAGCGCCGCGCCGCACCTTGGCCTGGGCAGCGCCCGCCATGGAGGCCTGGACACGAGACGCGATGGCAGCCATTGTGTTTGAGATCCGGTTTGGTGTCCGGGTAGGGAAAGGTGGGGTGTCAGGGCGTGCCGCAAGGAAAGTTTGCATGCGGGCAGCATGCGAACGGGTGCGGTTAGCACAGGGGTGACGTAGTGACAAGCGCAAGAGGTGTGCACAGCTCGCCCGAGCACATAGGAAGCTATTTGATATAAACCCAGAATCCAGATAATAAGACTTTTTGAATTGTTTAATGAACCCCATACCTGCACCATGCTTGCGGTAATTTGGTCCTACGTAGGCGGCCCCTTGACTGAGGCAGATCAGCCTGTGTGCAGGTGCGGCTTGAGATCACGCACATTCTGAGGGCCACCACTCTGGAGGGGTCAGCAAGAGAACGGCATGCCTTTGAGCCGGGCGTCTTGTACGCACAGCGCCATTCAAGCACCGCCCCGCCATGCACGTCCTGCACTGTTATTAGGGGTGTGCGGTAAACGGTCGCAGCCCTGGCACTGCGCGTGCCCGAACCTGCATGGGTCTGCGTAACGGTCTTGCACAATGCGGCTGGTGTAAAGTGGCGCATGCACCCAGATACATTGCGAAGGGTTTTGAGGCAAGCTGGTCAATTCTTTTAGGCACTGTGGCTGCTGTCAGGGCCAGGAGCCGAGCTGCTCGCAACTCCAGCAGCAGCAGCAGCAGCAGCAGCAGCAGCAGCAGCAGCAGCAGTAGCAGCAGCACTGATGTTGTTTTACAGCCGAAGAGCCATGCTTGGCTTGTAGAGTTGTGTACACTGCAACTTACATCATCTTGTTGCTGCCTGTAAAGCACACCGCAATCGCAATCGCACAGTGCCTGCGGTGCTGCTGCGGTGAGAAAGCAGACACACACGTTGCGCGATCGCCTCACTGCTGCCAACCAACTCAGCAGCGGCCTGACTCACTTATGCCATAAGCATCAGGTCAAGACCAGCGCTGATGACGTCAAATGGCTTGCACGCATCAGCACCGCACCGCCGTCCTGGCTGATGCAAATACGCGGCGGGTGGGGCCGGCGCTCGTCGTGCCGGCAGCAGTGCGGGGTGTGAACACCACAGCCCGCTGCACCACCGTGGGCTTGACCTGAAGCACCCGCACAACAGCCACACTAGAGGGCGATGGGCCGCCCTTCCCGAGTTCCTACATGCAAGATGGGGGGAAGAACGAATTGATGTTGAGCAGGCTCGGGGGGCACGAATGCTGCTAGATAAGAGCTGCAAATCCAGGGCAGGCACGCTAGTAGCTGGCAAGCAAAGGCAATCCTCTGGGTACACGTGCACCGCAGTCACGGCATCTGGGCTGTGAGCCACTCCAATCTGCCACTTTGCAGGCTGGCAGAGTAAGATGCGCTGCACCAAATCACCTTGAAGAACTCTAGGCGCGGCATGGGCATGTCCCCAACCGGATTCGCCAATGCCCTGCTCTCCCCGGGCATCATCATCAGCGCAGACCTGAGCGCTGGCCGCAGGAATGCCGGCGCGTAGGCAATCAGGGCCAGAAGGCTGAAGCGGCCCTGCCAGTAGGCGCGCCTGGCGCGCCGCACCACCTCAGTGACTCCAGTCATTGCAACCGGGTTTTGCTTCTTTAGAAGCAGTCTTGTTGTGGTCTGAAGCTCTGCATCTAGGCTGTGAGACTTCGAAACCCGGGTATCCGGGGTGATCACGGATGTGCAACACGGATTTAGTAATCACGACGAGAAAACCTCGTTCTTCATCTCGCATAACGAATTTGAGAAGCTACACACCTACTAGGTGCTGGTGTTGATATCACAGGGTCGTTTGACGTCACTGAGCCACTTGCAGCAGGAATGGCCCAGCATCACAAAGAGCTGGACGTGTGCCTGCCAGGGCACCAATGGGGACTGCTCCTACCAGTCTGCTATCGTGGCAAGGAAGACAAGGAAGCCGTGTGGGAGAGGCTGCACGAGTTCATACAGTCCCTGAAGGCCACGACGACGCCGGAGGAGCGCAGCTTGCTGCGCGTACATGTCGCGATTGACCAGGCAAGTGCAAGCCGGCAACAAAGGGCAGGGCTCGTTGTGTACAGCCAAGCATGTACCTGCCGCAAAATTGCACTTGCAGATACATGATTTGCTCTGCAGTCTCCAACTCATCTGCCGTCACTGCTGTTGCCGTTTCCTGCTGCAGTTTGACATCGTGTTTGATAACGGCGAGGCGCGTGCCCGGATCAAAGCGGCGCTGGCAGGCGTCGGCGTGGCCACCGCCTTCACGCTCCTCAGGTGCCAGGCGTGTATTCCATTTTTTAAAACGCCTTCATCTGTGACGATGCGCCACACTGTTTTGATGTACGGGGGAATGTGTCGGCGCCCCTATGGTCAGGATCTGCCGCCGCACACCCTGAAAATGCTGCCACACCTTTGTGCCACACACCCTGGATCCCCCTCAAAATTAGATCCCACTTTTGGCACAAGATCTGTCACATCTGGGCGCACCTGGCGGAGGCCGCAGTGGCAGGTGCGCCGGACAGCGGGTCTGCATCCAACTGCCGCTGCCTGCCTGCTGAGTTGACTAGATCCGTTTGACCGAGCGTACATCAACGTGCACATAGGGCCACTTGCATGACCAATCTACTCACAGCTGTCCTGCTTTGCCTTTCTCACAGATGGTGCAGAATTTTTTGTGCTTCTGGGTGATGACATCAAGCTGCTCGAGCGGGTGCGTGCATTTGCTGCGGGTACACCGCTGCCTTCATTCAAGCTGCGCCCTGCCACACACACCCCTGCATCATGGCCATACAGGTGATGCAACACTGCTGTCGTGAGGTTTGTCTCACCCTGCACAGTTTGATTCACAAATCTTTCCGGCGCGCACCCCTGCCCCTCCTGATCAGGGCTGGAAGGCGGAGATTGAGGCGCAGTTTGTGGATACCTCTGAGGCGCGCAACCTGCCGCTCGGCTGTGCCTGCGTCTGTTTCCGCGACACATCGTTCCCTGTCTTCCCTACTTTCCCGGTCATGCACCGCTGGCACCTGGACACCTTTGGGAGGCTCTTTCCCCCTCAGCTCGTCAACCAGCACGGCGACCCTTTCCTCTTTGAGCTCTATCGCAGGTGGCTGGGGCCAGCCACCAGGGGACTGCAGTGGTTTTCTGCGATGGGTCAGTCCAGCACGTAACATATATAATATTCTCAAGTAGCTAGACCAGGGGTGGGAAGGGCTTTTTATTACAACCTGTGAAGGCTCTCTCAGTGTGCTCCTGTGCGAGCGCGCGAGCGCGCGCACGCACGCATGAACGCACGCGCACACACACAAACTGCAATGCCTTGCATTGCGTTGTGAAACGCATCTGCACAAAACTCATTCTGCCACGCTTTCTCCATCTCTGTTCTGCAGGTGGGGTGCCAGCGCCTTCGCGTCCTCGGCAAGCCTCATCAACGGCGTCGGTGGCCTGGGGGCTGCACGCTACTGCAAGCAGGGGGCGCCGTGGCGGGACGCTCTGCTGTCAGATGCAATTGCGGTGCTGGAGCATGCGCTGGGCCCAGAGGCCGCTGGGCGCCAGCTGCGCTGCCTCAACGTCGTCGTGCCTACATACAGGTTTGTGGGGGGGGTCCGTCCCGGGGTGCAGCCTGCACGGTGGCTGGCTGAGCGTTGCTGCTGGAATCCCGTGGCTCGAGCTGGGTGTTTGGTGATATGCCCCTGCAATCAAACATACCCAACAGTCTCAGCACCAACCCAGCCTCAATCCCTATCCACCTGGTGGGGCCCCCCCAGCATCATTGCCAGTGTTTACACCGCCGTCCACACAAGCCCAATCAAACCCACCCACACCCCTCACAGGTGCAACCTTGGCGCCCTGCGCCGCATCACCCAGCTGCGCACGTCGCTCGCCGCCCGCGCGTCGCTGCACACGCTCGTCGTCGTCGACGACCCCTCCTCGCCCGCGCTGGCAGATGTGCAGGCGCTGCAGGACTGGAGCCCAAACCACCTCGTGCGCGTGTACGTGCAGCCCGCCAACATGGGCGCCAGCGACGCGCGCAATGCGGGCATGGCGCAGAGCTTCGGGGACTGGACTGTGCTGCTGGACGATGACGTGGCGCCTGACGAGCAGCTGCTCGACGCCTACCTGGGCGCAACGCTGCGGCACCCGCACGCCAAGGTGTTTGTTGGCCTGACCCAGCTGCCGGAGCCGCACTCCATGCAGCAGCACGCGCTGGTGGGTAAGGGGCGTTCAAGTTTGCGGGGGTTGTGGGTGTTGAGCGCCCTGAGCTAACTTCATGTGTGAACGTCATTCAGTACGATGTTCTTTGATTTTCTGGGGCACCAGAGCTTGTCTGCACTTTCCTGTAGTCAACACCACCCAGGCGTTGTAGTCACTGGCAGAGTCTCCCTGGGTTCATGCAGTTCAGCTCTGCACAACCTTGGAACGTCCTAAACGCTGCGATTAAATCAGGTGGCCTCCCAGATGACTTTCTTCTTCTCCATCGCGGCCCGCGAGCCCAACCCGCCCTGGGGCGTGACGGCCAACCTCTGCGTCCCCGGCCGCAGCAACAACACCGTCTGGTTCAGCGGGGCCTACCCCAAGACCGGCGGCGGCGAGGACGTGGAATTCTGCCTGCGGCTCAAGGCGCTCGCCGCCGACAAGGACGCAGCCATCGTGGCGGTGCCGGAGGCCAGGGCGCTGCACCCCTTCTGGGGCGGCGTGCTGCGCCAGGTTGCAGGCTGGGCTTCGGGCGACGTGCTCTGCTTGGAGGCGCTGCCGCACAGCACCTTCCGCGCGCTGCCCAACTGGGCCGAAGCGACGCTGCTGCTCCCGGTTGCCGCGGCCATCGGCGCGCCGCCGCTCAGCGGCGCCCTGGATGGCTGTGGCACGATGGAGCGGCTGGTGCTGCTGGCGGCCTGCGCTGCAGCCATCATGGCCGTCGAGCTGACTCTGGGCGTCGTGTCGGTGCTCCCGCGCGTGCCCCCGGCCCTTGCGCCGCCACGCCGCATGGTGATCGCTGTGCTGGCGCTCGTGCCCGCCCTGGTGCAGGACGTCGTCCGGCTGCGCTGCAAGCTGGCGCGGCTGCGCTTCACGCAGATCTGCCTCTGCTTTGACTGGATGGATGGCCAACGCGACCACGTTGCTGCCACCCAGTTTGGCCTTCTCGTGCGCAATGTCTGCTGGGCTGTCGCCGTGTGCTGCGTGCTTTTTTGGTCCAGGCTGTCGGCCGGCACGCTGGCTCTGGCCGCGTCTTTCCTGACGGCTGCTGTGCTGCTGTTTGCGCGCTCCCAGCGCATCAACCATCGGCGGCTGTTCTGCCGCGACTACCTGTCGGCCCTGCGGCCGCTGCCGCTGCCAGAGGACGGGCCTGTGCCGTTTGTGGTGCTGGCCTACCAGAGGACCGGCACCAACCTGCTGTGCGGCATGCTCCACAACCACCCAGAGGTGCGAGCGCTGGTGGCGGCGAGGCTGCAATGATCCAATTTTCTGTGGGTTGATGCCGTGCCGTGCTGGACGGATGTTGGCGGTGATGTCATGCGGCAACATTTGCATGAAAATTCATAGGGGGGCTAAGAGCAATTGATGGAATTTCACTAGTGATTGCTTG